GATTTTAACAATTTTTTCGAATTTTTAAACGTCATGCGCGGGTAATTAATATTAATAAATATTAAAAATAAATATACAACCTTTTAAGTCTTTACCCAGGTCATCTTTTGCGCACTATTACAAATCGAAATTCGGAAAAAATATTTTTCGACCCACCCTAATGTATAATGTTAAAATTTTATAAAAAAAATTACCATATTATAGATATACAATGGTGGGCTATTTCGCATCCTCCGAACTTTTCCTTACTCTCTCTGGATCGATCCACATTACTGCAATGCACTTATATTTGAATTATTTGAAACAAATTAGCTAAGTTGTCGTTTTTTAGAAATCACCTATTAAACGGCGTAATTTCGTCGGTTCCTTTTCTCGAAGTCGAATATTATTTATTAACCAAAAATTATCCAAGTTACTTTTTGTAGTAAATAAATATACTACAAAAAGAAAAAACAAAAATAAATTCTAAACTCTACGCCTACAATGTAAAAACTACAGTTGTCCTACACGAGAGCGCTATTTATGGACACCGCAACTCAGTCCCGTGGGCTAACCGGCTTGCTGATTACGGCACAATTATACCCTGTTGGCCGGTAAATAAACACGTAATAGTCCGGATGAGCAATTTGACCGGCACCGTATTATTATACGTATTTAGATACCAGTCCGTTTTGTTTGACGTTATTGAGAAAGGGTTTTATGACTTTCAACTGAGCTCTTACTTCTATTTTGTATTTATTTACAAAACAGGAAAGCCCCAATTGAAAATATTTTATTGTAAAAAATAAGACAATTTATATTTTGTAAAATGAAATGAAAACAGAGATAGAATAATAAAATAAGATTACCGTAAGAGAAGTGGGTTCGAAAATATTTATACCTGCGGGTTCACATGAAATACAACATAAGCCGACTCGAAGCTCCCAGCATTATCTATCGCGCACTAGTACTATAACTTACAATATAATCCCAGTGATTAATCCCTTACAGTTTCAGTAATCTTCATTCTCATACCTACTGCCGCTTAATTCAACTTAGCAGAATTTCTAATTGGTAAACTGAGTCAACTGGCTTATCAATTATTGGCACAAATATCATTTGTTTGTAAATTCATAATTGAGAGTCATTTGCGAACTATAACAGGCCTACTGAATAATAAAACTGTTTAATTCACTTTCTAAGTCCGATACAATATTCAAGGAACACTGTTTCTCGAAATTCTTTACAAGTACGTTTCAGGGATCAAAATATTCGTTGTTGTTAAAGGTTACTAAGCGATACTAAGCGGGTTTAATATAACGTACTTCAAAGAAAATAATATACATTTCTCTTGCTTCGATTTAGGTCAAGAGCGAGCACTAATCTCGCCTGAGATTACGCATTCGTGTGATGATTACCGTCGAGTCGACTCATTTGTTCCCGTTACGTGTTAAGGCATGATATTAGGAGAAATCGCGTGAGTGATTAACCGTGTGTATTGTGAGTAAATGGCTCGGCCGACAATGCGTGCTCACTGCTCGCTGTGCGCACCCCTACCTGACCTGTTTTTCTGCGTAATGACACGACGTTTGGGAGCTTCTTATTATTAGACTAGATGTTAATTAATATCTCGCGTTATTATGTTTTGTGCCTTAAATAATGTGCTGACATTATATCTGTTTTATTCAGTGAGCTTGTATTTATGATGTATCTGGCAGTTTAATGAAAGAGATCATCAAGTTGACGAAAGTTAGTTATTAAAATACCAGAATTCATAGACAAGAAATGAAAACATTAGCACCTTCTCCGAGATATGTGTACATAGTTATCCCGTTATCATACTTAGTTTCCAACAATTATAGCCTAAAGACAGCCTAATCTTACTCAAAAATATCAAATCTCGTCATCTATTTCATCTAGCCTTCAGTTTACGACGCCCAACATAAACTAGACAAGCGATGCGAAAAAACTCGTCGAAAATTGCCACAGTATAAAAAATAAGCCGATTTTTTATGGCCAGTAAAATTCGCGTGTAAAATTGTTAGGTATGGATTCCCTGATGATTCGTCCCTCGGGCGACTGTCATGCGTTTGACGTACCAATGCCAGTGTGACCATTGAAATTAAAATAAAATTGTTAAATGTTAGAGCGACTACCAGTAGTTCTTTTAGCGTTTTTGTTTTGTACGAACAATTGTTTTGTGTTGGTTTATATTTATGATTTTTTTATAGGGAAATTAATATGACTTCAAATATTTTCTTCTCAAGTCATAGTTATTTCAGTCTTTATATCTCTAAGTATTAAAGAGGTATCTAATGATAATAATATTTTTTATAGATAGTTCGGCAAACGAGCAGACGGATTACCTGATGGTAAGCAATCGGCATCGCCCGTGTTCATTTGCTACAGCAGAAGAGTTACGAGTGCGTTGCCGACTTTTTGGGTATTATTTTTGAATTCATATTAACTATGTTTGGTATGTATTTGATTTATATTGTACATATATTCTTAAATAGAAACAGAGTACAGTCATAAGATCACTATCGACCGTAGAAAGTAGATTTCGGATAAAGATCGGCTATTAATTTCAGTTTAACAATATCGACTTGAAATGATAGAGAGAATGATATGCCAATCAATATAAATGCAAAATAGAACACGTTCACATGTTTATAGCGATACAACGCGAAACAATTACCGTAATAAGATATTATTAGGCTTATAATTGTATATGGAACATGAACATCGCACTCTGAGCCCCCGCTGTGTGTGTGAACGATAATTGCAAGTTTCAGTTTACCTTCAGGCCATAAGATAATCTGTTCTGTACACGACTTAATTATCTATTTACTACGTTTGTACATGTAAACTACAAATTTATATTAGATATAAGTAACCAAGTATTTTTTGTGAGGGAAAATTATCAAATGTCTTATCCCGCTCAAGGTGACGCGAGAGGGAGGGTCAGACTCTTACTTACTATAAACTGCCCGTTCTTTTTCCTGCTGTAAGTTGAGGCCGCGGTGCCTAATTGCGCTTGCCTCCTAACTCCGGTAAGACCGAATGTTTTTGATTTATTAGCTTATGTCAGCAGAAAGGTAAAAGAAGCCTATGTGTAGTGTTATTCTAGACTATAATCTGTCTCTATGCCAAATTACATAGCAATTCGATCAGGCGTGGACTCCCACGCTCCCACTCCCAGAACCGGCACATTCTTGCCCAAGTGGGGCACTCGCCTCACTTAGGCAAGAATGTGCCGGTTCTACCAGAGTGATACTACGGCCTTATAGAAAAATGACGTTAACCGCAAGCGGTGTTTCATCATGTTTGTGAGGTCGGTCACATCAATGCCTCCGCAATCCCCAATCCTCAATCCCTATAACCCACAAAAGACCAGCAACATACTTACTTCTTTAGGGTTGGGGTGTCCATGGGCGGCGTCGACTGCGTACTATCATAAATATATATATTCTTAGTCGCTTATTTTTGTTTCTCTGTAATATATTATATTATCTATAACAAAAATGATATACATAAAACCTGAAATTTCTAATTATAATATTATTCAAAAAATATAAATTAAATTTCATTACGTTTCTCTGATTCACCCAAACGTTGGAGTGGTAGATAATGCTTACAGCGCTAAGTCCGCCTATGAGCTAGAACAAGTGCATACAGTTTTAATAAATAAATACTTCGTCTACAATAATATTCCGCGAAGACTTTGTACCACAATTACTTAATTCCTGTAACATTTAAACCGAAACTGAAATATTCTATTTCAGTAATAACATTACTGCGGGTATTCTGAAAGTATTTCAGTTTCCTGAAAACCTGGTTTATAGTTTCAGAACGATTCAGTGAAAACATTCCAGTTTTCCCTGAATTTCAGTGCACTCTCCTTGAGTTAATAAGCTCCTATTATGGTGTGCTTCCATTCTCATTTCGTTTGGATGCTGTAAAGGAATTAAACGGGAAAATTATTTCTGTTGAATGTGATACTAATTGTTTTAAGGTTATTCAATTTTTAGCCATTTTGTTCGAGTGGTCGAAAGCGTGAATATAAACACGAAGGATTTTGGGTTACTTTTTTCCAAAGTATAGGTCCTCCGGCCTCCTTTAGCCTCAGTCACACGGCGAAATACAACGATAATGTGGTTTCACATCGGTATTCTGTAGGTCGTGGTATCACTCCGGTCACACCGTCACATTCGCGTCGAAGCATGGCTCTTCCACACTTAAAACTAGAATAAACGTGTAACAATTTATTTGTACATAATTATAAATATTCACTTAAGTTGCGTTTTATGCCCCGAAAGTGTAAAAAAGAGGGCACATTTATAATGAACTGATAAAACTCACTATTCACCATTTATATTATGAGAACCATGTTTGGAAGCCTACCTATATAAAATCAAAAAAGGAATACAATAAATATATTCCATAATACTCGTCAATATCCATTGTATCCACTCCACCTGAATTATGAATGAATAACGCGCAGTCCATTATCACAGGGGCTTTGCGTTGAGCTGCCGTAAGTACAGCCTCGAATCAGCTTTGCGTTGCCATCGAACCTACGAAGTACCGATTAATTGAATACTTACTATATATTTGTAGCAATATTGCTAATCAAATTTTTTGTCTGTTTGTATGGAATAAGCAATCCGAAATTAGTGAATCAAAAACCTACAAAAGTTCGGAACGATTTGAGAAATACTTATGATTTTTTAGAGTGTGACATACGTATACTACAAAGAATTGATTTTTTTTCTGAGATATGTCGGCCAAGGATCATTTCGATTATGGTGGTAGTGGTAACAACACCAAAGAAGTTACGATAGCGTTGCCTGCCTTTTGATAATTATGGATTCGGATATTTAAGAATTTCGGAGTTATGGAAGGATGACCTTACCCATACGACGAAACACAAAGCTGTGGTTATTTCACACCGGTTTTTTGTAAGGCCGTAGCTTTGGTCGAACTGACCTAAGTGTGCTGAAAGGCTTTCCCACACTTACCACTCCTACTCGATATTCCTTTAGTAACATTAGGACCTTTTTTTAGAAAAATCTACTAAGCTTCAAGCTGCTTGCAGTAATCTATCCGGTTCCAACGGTACTAATATTCGAATTTTGCATAAGTACGCATAGTCGGCAATACGGAACAAGACATTTATAGGGTAAATTTACACAGGCAACGCCGTGGGTAAAATGTAATATACTGTATATTGATTTTGTATTACAGTAAGCGGATATAACTCTGATATTAGACAACTGCAGATGTTAATTTGTTATGTAGGAGCTGTGTTTGTGTGCGAGATTGAATATTAATTGGTGTTTCGTTGTTTTGTAGTAATTTGCTTCTATTTATAGTTTGGCGGAATAGTTAACTGTATTGTTATTTGCCTGAGTTTTAGCTTATTGACAAGAAATATGACATACAATGAGCAGTGTCGATACTTCTATAATAATTAATATCTTTATCTCAGAATTTTTCTAGAAATTTTCCAAGCAGTCTAAAGCTATATAGTAATACTAGCAGACCCGACCGGCGATGTCCTTCATAATGATATTTCAAGCGATTAGGGTATTAAAAAACTATGAAGATACATATTATATGTGAAATATTGCGAAAAAGAAAATTGAAAAACATCTGCTTTCCCAAACATAAAACTGAGCTAGATCGATTTCTCGTCCCCAAAAACCCCCACAATCAAATTTCAGCGAAATCGTTAGGGCCGTTTCCGAGATCACAGGCTGATTTGTGAATATAAACCACCCAGGACGCCTCTCAAACGCATACAGAAAAAATCATTTAAATCGGTCAAGCCGTTTAGGAGGAGTTCAATGACATACACATGTACAGCACGATTATTTATACATATAAATATATCTTTATTTGCTTAGAATGTAGGTACATAAATATAATGGTTAAATGGCACTGTCCATGAGGTGTTCATGTTCATCTATCCACCAGCTCCGAGGAATTACGAGGTTTTTGATGAAGAGGATCTAGTAATCGCTCACTTAAGAAACGAAGCTTTTAAGTTTTCTAAATTGATCTTGAGGTCTGAGAATCGGTTTGTCTGGTCTGGATGCCGAGTCGTCAACATTTTTGGCCGAGTCGTAAAAATTTTTGGTTTGCAAAAAATACCCAAAAATCACTATTTTAGATAATTTGTTTTGATAGCTTGTATCGAATATACTTACGAAGATCCCGATTCGAATTTGACTAGTATTTATGTCCAGTGCCCTTTAAACTTTCAAACTTGAAGGTTATACTCAAAGTTTCCATTTGTGAGACTGTTTTGGGAAATATGTTCTTACTTAGTTGGTTACAAGACTTTGATATAACGCAACATTGAATTTCGAACTTAATAAATATAGTTATTAAGTCTGAATTTCATTTGTGGCTTTGTTAGGGTGATAGTTCTATTCCGGGTTTAGTGAGTAATGATATAGTTCGAGTTTGTTCTCAATTATAATCATATTTAATTGTTATTCACGTATCATAAATACAAAACTTTCAGTTTTTAAATTATTAATCTAACACAAACTTTTAGTCTCTGAAAGAATAAAAGTCCTATTTAATAGCATAAATAGGACTTAATACTGAAAACGGACTGAAACTTTCATTCAGTCCTATACCTACTGAGAATTTAGAAAAAAAACCAAAATATTTTAGTACGCCACGAGCATTACCTACCAACTTCACAATCAAAATTTTATTTAATTTCTTTTTTCATTTCATACATTTAACATTCAATTCAAAAAATGAAATCTGTCGGTTTGACTGAAATGATACCACGGCGTCACAGAAAACCGGCATGAAACACCACAGAGTCGAGTTTCACCGTGTGATGATGTGACCAGAAGCTTGATGCTTCCTCTCCATTCCTTATCATTCAATAAATCTCCTAAACCCTAATGCCCAAAAGGTTACGTACTTGTAACTCCTCTGGTGTTGCAGATATCCATGAGCAGCGCCGATCATTTACCACCAGGTGCTCGTTTGCTGACCCATTACTTAAAAAATAACTCTACAGTAACTGTTTAAGTGCAAAATAGCTCTCAGTTTGTGGATAAGTCACAATATAAACTTTTGTTCCTTCAGACCTAGGCGCTGTCACTCCCAATAATACTAACAGCTTCTAATTTTATTACAACCTTCTAAAGTTTGAGAACGACGCTTTTATCTCAATATCCATTCTTCCAAGTCTTTATTACCTACACTTTGAAAGGCTCACAGACCCATTTTAAAAGTATCAGCCCATATCAATTCAGAAAACATTTTAGCACCCTCCAAACACATATGAGATCCGATCCGCACATACATACACACACAAGGGCCCGAACGACCGGAATGTCGTCCAAACGTTTTATAATTTCTCCAATTATACAAAATTAATTTTATTTCTGTCTTCGCTTTAAAAAAACGTAACGAGTTTTCAAAGCGACACGGGCGCTTTAAAGCACTTTATTGCGGCCCGCTCGGACAAGGGTAATGGTCTAAATTTATTGGGTTAAATGGCCCGTACGAGCGGAAATTCGAGCTAAATTGTTCAGTTGTCTAATTTTTGTGGATTTGATGCTTCATTTCACAGACTGAATGTCTAACATCGGACTGTGAGAAGTGGATTTTATTTTAATCAAACGTTTTGTTCGAGAATTCGATTGGAAATCAATTTGAGTCAAGATTGTGTTTAATGCATTTTGGTAGTGGGGTCGCAGATAGCGGTGTGGGGTATCAAACGTTAATGGTGTAAGTACTTATTGTGGAATAATTTAAATCGAATGGCATTGCTTTGTCGGTCGACCAGATAAAACTGATTCCATCCTTCCTCAAAACTAATAATTTTATATGGATATCGAATAAACAGTGATTCTTCGGTCGATAGTTTCCAGCTGCAGCGAAATGGTAATAAAGGAGCCCACTAGGTCTCTCAAGCGTTACGTTACGGGTCCTATTCCGCAAACCCCTCGCAAGCCACAAGGAAAACGGCAAGAAAAATATCGACCGGTAGACGTTAAATCACAGTAAATTTGAGTCTGGAACACAATAACTCAGGAGAACGCCGCCATAACTGTCGCAAACATTGTTCAGATGATTCACGCATTTGGTAATATCGTGTTTTTCTCGAGAACACATTCCCGGGTTTGTTCGCATTCCATTGCATTGTCTAGTGAGCGTGATTGTCTGTTCCCGTTTTACACAAAATTATACCATATTAAAAGTTGCTTTAAGGTTTTGATTGATTGTCCTATCCTTTAATACAACATATTCTAATAGATTAAGGAGACGAAAAAATTTTTACTTTACACCATTATTAGTTTTATAAGACGATTTGCGATAACTGATATCTAGTTTAGATATATAAAATAAAAGTAGAACTCGTCAAAGAAAAATCTAAACATAGACGTTACAGCAAGCCATTTATTTATGCTTATCAGGCCATCAGGCCAAGATAACACGACCACGTTGGCTGACCAAGCAGCCTCACATATGGCAGAGGATTCAATTAGCACGGAGACAATGTACCATGCAAGGTGAGGTGTCGGAAGGGCGACACTAAATCTCAACAGAATTGAATCAAACGGCCCGCCCGACGGCCACACCGATAATGGCCGATTTATGCTTTGCATTGTCTCTGATATCTTCGTGTGGGCATGGATTTTTAATTTTAGAATGTGCTCGGTATTTTAAAATACGAAGGATTGTGTTTTTTTTACAGATATGTTGGGGTATTCGGTTTAAGGAGGTTTTAAGTTCATACAATTTTATAATATCTAAGGATTGTTTTTTTATTGGAGTTTTGCACCATTTAGTTTGTTTATATTATTGAAATATTGTCGATTGATGACTAATTCTAAATTGTATGTTGAAAGTCCAACAGTTCAACTCAAATTATTATTTTTTAGTTTCCTTGTTTGTACACACAAAACACGTATACATTTTAAATGATACAAAGTTAAAAACAGTATCTCCAACAAAAAAAACTAACATATTCATTAGAGAAGCAAAACACAAAACAAAAAAAAAATCTAAAAACAGATCTTAAGTATAAAATGTAAAGAAAAACTCGTTTATTCCCTAGGCGTAGTAAATCTCAGTTATTTGTACAATGTATACATGTAAGAGTATGTAAACTGGCAAACAAGTCGGTAAATAACAATGTTAACGAGATACTCGGCTGGATCGGAGTATGTTGGATACATGGGACACGGACTGTCTACTAATATACTAATGCGTAACATACACGTAACCAGGTTCGTAGCTATAGCTACATACTAGTATTCATATAGACATAGGTACAAAGATAGTTCATAATTAAGACAAACATTTCTTCATATTTCAAAAAGGGTATTAAGTCACTGCCGCTGAGGTTTAAGATCCAATTTTGAAAATTAACTGTCATGAGCATCACACTTGTTAAAAATAACACTAAATATTTGAAGAATTTTTATGATAGTGTATTAAGAAGGACATTGCTTTGATGTCTCATAGCTCGATATCCAATTTAAGCCATGAGCGAAGTCATCTATATTAATATTATAAAGAGGTAAAATTTGTAAGTTTGTATGTAGGGGGTAATCTTCGGAACCGCTGGTCGGATTGACAAAATTCTTTCATTGATAGGTAGCTACAATGTTCCTATGTGCTATAGGCTATAAAACATCACGCTACTATAAAATGGAGCCGAGTAGCAGGTGAAACAGCGCGAGAATAGCTTTTTTACAAAAAAAAATATTGTTATTTCAAAGAGCTATGTAAATGACGAAGAAGCCAGCACGTGGCATGAAGTTTATACTTCTAAGTAAAATCGAATATGACACAAAAAACTATTTCGGTAACAAAGTAAATATGGCGACTCGTGGAGAAAAAGAAAACTCAGATGTTTTCACAATGTGGGCAGATCTTTAAATATAGTTTTTTATTACTTCATAATATTATACAAAATTAAAGGTTGTATTGGTTTTTGTATTCATCCAGTAACATTGTTACGAAATAGGTTACGACTAGACGAACACGACCGGTTTGAGATATATAG